GCCAGCGAGCGGCGACGGACCCGACGGCGGCGCGGCGCGGCGCGGGGCGCGGCGTGCGACGGCGGCGCCGACGGTCGGCGGGGCGGCTCGACGACGACGGGGCGCTCGCCTCGTCGCCCGGGCCTCCTCCTCGGCCGCCGCGCCGCCCGAGCCGGCCGCTCGCCGCGGCACCGTCCGGGCCGGGCGCCGACGAGGCGCCGCCCCCGGCCGACCCGCGCCGCCGCCCCCCCCCCGGTCGACCGGGGCGCTCCGCTCCCTCGACGCGCCGGGGCCCCCTCGCGTCGCTCGAACCGCGCGCGCTCACGTCCCCGAACGCCCGCAGGTCTCGCCATGTCGCTCCCGACGTCGAAGCGGGCGCTGAGCGCGGGCGCCGTCGTCGCGGCCATGGCGGGCCTCGGCGTGCTCATCGGCGCGAGCGACAACGTGAAGATCCTCGCGGGCCGGGGCATCAAGAAGGCTTCGGCGAAGCTCTACGGGATGCTCGGCGAGGACCCGAGCAGCCTGAGCGCGTGCCCGGCCTGCGAGTGCGCCGCGGCGACGGACAGCGAGCGCCAGCTCGCCGCCGAGGAGATCTACGCGCTCACGGCGGCGCCGACCGTCGCCGAGGAGTGGACCGCGCTCTGGACCGAGGGCACGAGCTCGCTGTCGTACGTCTGGGTCATGCAGAACGAGTTCGAGGGCATCCAGGCGACGGTCCTCGTGGACACGACGGGCAAGGCCCAGGGCGTCGTCATGGGCGCCAACGAGACCTACGTCTACTTCGTCGAGGACAGCGGCGCCGTCTGGAAGGTCGACATCGACGGCCGCAACCCCGTCGAGCTCATCGACTACTGCACGGCCGACTCCTGCTCGGGCCTGGGCCTCGACTCCTGGGAGTACACGGAGAAGCTCTACTTCGTCGACAGCTCCATGGGCACGCTCATGTCCTGCAACATGTACACGGGCGACGACGAGGTCACGCTCGTCACCAACATCGAGGACGCCTACGCCGTCGCCGTCGACAAGAAGGCGGGCAAGGTCTACCTCACGGCCTCGGGCGCCATCTACTACACGGACTACTCGACGGTCGGCGCGACCTACAGCGAGATGTCCACGTACTTCGCGCCGTCGACGTACGACATCGTCGGCCTGTCGGTCGACTCCGAGGACCGCGAGGTCTACTGGACGGGCAACGACGCCGTCTACAAGGCCGCCATCGACTTCGACTCGCCGACGACGCTCTACAGCGACGTCAAGGACGCCAACTCCGTGTCCGTCGACTGGCAGCAGGACTTGTTGTTTTACACGGACAAGTACGGCATCAACATCGGCAACCTCGACGGCACCATGGACAGCCGCGTCGCGGCCTACCTCTACAACACGACCTTCGTGTACATCAAATACGAGGTCATGCCTACCCCCGCGCCGACGTCGATCCCGACGTCGAAGCCGACGGAACATCCGACGTCGGTGCCGATCCCGGTGCCGACGATCACGCCGACCTCGATTCCTACCAGCGAACCGACCGGCGTTCCCGCGCCCGCGCCGACGGCGACGCCGACGTCGATTCCGACGTCCGAGCCCACGGGCGTGCCCGCGCCCGTCCCGACGAGCGTGCCGACCTCCAAGCCGACGACGACGCCCACGGGCTACCCCACGGGCGTGCCCGTGCCGCTCCCGACGTCGACCCCCACGTCGAAGCCCACGGAGATGCCCGTGCCCGCGCCGACCTCCGTGCCGTCGCCAGAGCCGACGAGCTGGCCGACTCCCGAGCCCACGAGCGAGCCGTCGAGCGCGCCGACCGGCTACCCGTCCATGGCCCCCGTGCCCCTCCCGACGCCCTCGCCCACGGCGTTGCCTTCGAGCCTGCCCAGCAGCGCGCCCACGGGCGTGCCGCTGCCGCTGCCGACGACCATGCCGTCGCCGATGCCGACGCCGTTGCCCTCGGCGCTGCCCTCGTCGATCCCGACCACGGAGCCGACGGGCATGCCCATCCCGGTCCCGACGCCGTACCCGACGCCGTCGCCCACGGGGATCCCGACTCCCGAGCCCACGGAGGAGCCCACCTCCATTCCCACGGCGAAGCCGACGCACATGCCCTCGCCGATGCCTACCAGCGCCCCGACGCTCACGCCCACCACCGAGTGCGACTGGTGGTACGGCCAGTGCGGACTCTGCGAGTGCGGCAACGGCGCGGGCATCAACCCCCACGACTAGGCCGTGGACACCCACGCCGATATCCCACCCCTCCGAAGCGCGAGCCTCCGAGCACGCGACCGCCGCGCGGGCGCATCCCACCCGTGATCTCATCCCTTCTAACTTCGTAAACCTCAACCTCAATGGATGAAGTTCTACTTGAAGCGGTCGGTGCACCTCGCAATGATGAGCACCTCATCGTGATGAGCATGATGAGAGCAATGATGAGCACCTCGCAGAGTGATCCCTGAAATGCCCGAGCACGCCGTCTGGTGCGAGCTCGCCGTCGCGGAACGGCAGCAACGACGCCGGTCCACGACATCCGTCGCCTCGAACAACCTCTCGCACGCACTCGCGCACGCGCTCGACTCCCTGGAGGAACTCGAGCTCGACGACCGCGGCATCGTGGAAGCGCGAGCGAAAGACTCCAAGCACTGGCTGCAGGAGACGAGCATCGCGCGCCACGCCGCCGCCGCCTGCGCGACCGCCGAGACCGTCGTCGACTGCTGCGCGGGCCGCGGCGCGCTGTCGGAGCGCGTCGCGGACGCCGTCGACGCGCTGCGCGGGACCCAGCCGCGCTACGTGCTGCTGGACCGCGCGGCCTTCAAGGGCCGGCGCTGCGCGTCGAAGCGCCTCGCGTTCCGCGGCGCGCGCTGCGAGCGCGTCGTCGAGGACCTCGCGCGAGCGGCCTTCGAGGGCTTCGGGGGCCGGCTCGTCTGCGTCGCCAAGCACTCGTGCGGGCCCGCCGCGGACCTCATCCTCGGCCGCGCGCCGGCGGGGACGCCGCTCTACGTGGCGACCTGCTGCCACCACCTCTGCACCTGGGCCGCCTACGCGGGCCGCGGCGCGTGGGCCGCGCGGGCCCTCGACCGCCGCGACTTCGAGCACGCGGTCCGCCTCTCGGCCTGGGCGACGCTCGACGACGCGGACCACGGCGGCGCGGCGCCCGCCGGCGGCGGCGAGAACCGCGACGAGATGAAGGCCCTCGGCGCGCGGTGCAAGCGGCTCCTGGACGCGTGCCGCGTCGACGACCTCGGAGGCTCCGCGCGCCTGCTGCGCTACACGAGCGCGTCCGTCGAGAACCGCCTCATCGTCGCCGCCGAGTTCCCCGATTAATGGTGTCGTCCCCGTCTTTCTCATCGTCGCAGCCGCGTTTCCCGGGACTAAAATTGCAGATGTTACCCTCGTCTTCGCAGCACGAGCTGGGGCTTGAACTCCTCGAGGTACGCCTCGCACTGGCCGTGCTTGAACGACTTGAGGTTCTTGCGGATGTACATGGCCCAGTCGTAGGCCGTGTGCTTGTGCTTGTCCTTCGTCTTCTTCGACGCGCCCGTCTCGAGGATGGCCTTGACGCACTCCAGGTTGCCGCCGTAGGCCGCGTAGATGAGGGGCGTCCAGCCGCCCTTGTCCTTGGCCTCCGGGTCGCCGCCCTGCTCGAGCAGCATCTCCAGGAGGTCCGCGTCGCCCGAGAGGCAGGCGAGCATGACGGCCGTCATGCCGTGCTTGTTCTTGAGGTTGAAGTCCGCGTGGGAGCTCTGGAGCTTGAGGATCGAGCCCGGCAGGTCCGCGAGCACCGCGTGCATGACCGGCGACGCGCCCGTGAGCCGCGCCGGGTGGTGCTCGAGGTCCTCGCTCATGTCCGGGTCCGCCTGGAGGCTCAGCAGCAGGTCGACGATGTCCTCGCGCTCCTCCTTGACCGCGAGGCTCAGCGGCGTGCGCCCGTGCTTGTCGTACTTGTTGCTGAGCGCGGCGGCCTTGCCCTGGAAGTGGTCCTTGTTCTCCTCGCCGTCGTGCTTCTTGCCGTGGACCGTGCGCTCGACGCCGCCCAGGCGCTTGATGGCCCGCGCGTCCTTGGCCTGCGCGTTCTGGAGCTTGCTGATGATCGTCGACGTGTCGCCGTCGATGACGGCCTCGTGGAGGTTCTTGAAGTAGCACAGCCCGAAGAAGCGCCGCACGCCGGGGCAGCAGCACACGAAGGGCTTCTTGTTCTTCCGCCGCTCGGCCTTGGGGTCCAGGGCGAAGGTCGCGAGCGCGTCCTCGAGCTATTTCTTGCGGATCTCGTTGCGCTGGTCCTTGAGCTGCTGGGCGTAGGCCTGGGCGTTGTTGGGGATGGCGTCCGGGTCCGCCTCCTTCCCCTCGAGCGACGCGTTGTCCGCCTCGATGGCCAAATTCTCCCACTCGTCGGGCGCGACGGCCATGCCGTTTTGGGTCGATGGGCTACGGCATCGGGCAGCGCCGTAGATCAACGAAGACGGCACCAACGGCAAGTTGACGCTCATGGTAATTGCGACGATGTAGGAGCCCACATCGATGGGGGTCGTCGTCGTCGAGATCGCTGCGGACACGACGCTGCGCGTGACGCTGCCGGCGAGCTGGGATCCCGCGGCGGCGTCGACGCGCGCCAAGGTGCTCAAGGCCGCGGTCAAGGCGGCGAACAAGAAGCGACCGGCGCAGGCGGCGCTCGCGCTCGAGGCCTGCCGGCTTGTGCGAGGCGACGGCGCGGCCATCGCGGGCGCGCTGCCGAGCTTCGCGCGCCTCGACGCGACGCCGCGTACAGCGACGCCGCGTACAGCGACGCCGCGTACGACGACGCGGCCGCCGCCGCTCCCCGACGACCCGGAGCGCGACGACGAGGCGTCGCTGCTCGCGCGCTGCGCCGCGCCCGGCGGCGGGCCGTTCTGGCGGCGGCTCCGCGTCTTCATCCGGCGCCACGGCGGCGACTCGCGGCGCGCCGGCGCGCTCGTCGCGCGGCTCGCCGCGGGCGAGACGGTCGACCGCGACGTCCTCGACGGCTCCGGCGCGCGGCTCGGCCGGCAGCGGTCGACCGCGTGGCTGCCCCGCATGAGGAACACGCCGACGCGTGACGTGACCACCGCCGACTTCGCCTGGCTGCGCGCCCTCGCCGCCGGCTGGCGCGTCATGGCCCGGGAGGTCGCGGCGGCGCCGCGGGACGCGTGGACCGGCGCCGGCGTCGCGGAGCACGGCGCGAGCTACGCGCCGGAGTGGCGCATCCTCGGCCTCTTCCTCGACGACGAGCCATCGACGCACGCGTCGCGCTTCCCGGGCACGCTGGACTTGCTGAAAGCGAGCGGCGCGTTCGCGCACGCGCAGGAGGTCTTCTTCGCGCGCCAGCCCCCGCGCACGGGCTGCGCGCCGCACAGCGACAACCGCAACTTCCTCCTCGGCGCCCACGTGGGCCTCGTCGCCGAGGGCGGCGCCTGGATCCGCGCCGGCACCGCGCCGAAGCACCACTGGCGGCCCGGCGAGGCCTTCTGCTTCGACGGGAGCTTCGTCCACGAGACGTGGAACCCGTGCGAAAGCGACCGCGTCGTCCTCATCGTGCGCTTCTGGGCGCCGGAGCTCGACCTGCTGGATCGCCGCGCGCTCCGGGACGTGCTCTGGGCCGTCCAGGCCTACCAGAGCGTCAAGGCGGCCGACGGCGACGCCGCCGCGGACGCGTGGGCGAAGAAGATGCTCCGCGAGCCGGGGACATAAGAAGATGCGTTACCTCGCGCCGGGGACATAAACATGTGCGTGGGACATACTGCGAAGTAAACAAGCGCGTTGCCGCTCGCCGGGGGACATAAATACGTGCGTTGCCGCTCGCCGGGGACATAAATAGGTGCGTTACCTCGCGGTGGGCGTCGGCACCTCCGGCTCCGGCAGCGTCGCGTCGGTCTCGTCGTCGTCGAAGAGGAGCTGGACCGCGGACGGCGCGAGCTTGTAGCGGCCGCCGACGTCGCCGGGCGCGACGACCTTGAGCTGCGGGTACTCGATGACGCACTTGTCCAGGAGGGCGAGGTGCAGCCCGACGGAGGCGTCGACGCGGTCGTAGGCCGGGTCGTTGGCCGGGCCCGGCGTCCGCAGCAGCAGCAGCGCGGGCGGCTCGCGAAAGACGGGCTCGAGCCGCGCGCGCGCGCCCGCGTCGAGCGCCGCGACGTGCGCCGCCAAGAGATCCCGGAGCGGCGCGCGCTCGTCGGCGGCCTCGTCGACGAAGGCCGCGACCTTGTCGCCTCCGATCTCCACGGTCCACTCGACGCGCCAGTCGAGCGCGTCGCGCTTCCCGTCGTAGCGGCTGCTGTTGCGCGCGCGCCGGCCCATGCCCTCGGGCATCAATAGCAGGCGCACGCGCCGCCGCTCCGCCGCGCGCTGGAGCCGCTGGGCCGCGCCGCCGCCGCCGCGCCGTCGCGCGGAGCCGCCGAGCCGCGCCGCCTCGCCCCGCTGGAACTCGCGCGACGCCGTGAGCTGGCTGCGCTCCACGGACTCGATGAAGGCGCAGTCCTGGCGCAGGTCCCGCAGGCCCATGGTCTGCGCCTTCGCGTAGGCCGCCACGTCCCGCTTCCCGTCGCAGCCGCGCGCCTTCTTGTGCGCCGTGCAGCAGGCCAGCGAGCACGTCAGCGTCGCGCAGCGCGGGCAGCAGTACTTGCGCGGCTGGCGGTGGCAGACCTGGCAGAGCGGCGCGTCGCTCGCGTCCTCCTCCCGCTCGTCGTCGGAGCAGGACTCGGCGCGCTGCCGCTTGCGCGAGAGCAGGTCGGCCATCGCCTCAGGCAACTTGGGGAAACGTTGTCTTCAACCATCCTCACTGATCGATGCCTCGATGGCGACCTTTCTTTAGGCCATACCACAGTCCTCGATGGCCGGCTCGAACGCGACGCCGCTCCCGTGGAGCGCGGCCCTGGGCGTCGACGTGAACGGCCTCGACGTGCGCTGCCCCATCGTGTCCCTCTTCGCGCTCGTGGGCGTCATGGCGTCGGGCTACGACGCCCACGCGTCGGTCGTGAAGTGGGAGTCGAGCTCCGGCGCGAACCTGGGCGACGACCTGAGCTCCGTGACGTCGCTGCTCTACTACGTCGCCGTCTGCTTCCCCTGCGGCGTCTTCTACGCGTTCGCGAACGTCGGGAACCACCCGAGCTCGACGCGCCGGGGCTTTTTCGCGTCCTTCTGCCTCGCGGCGCTCGCGCTGGCCCGCGGCGCCGTCGTCTTCCACGACGAGGTCGTCGCCGACGACCTCGACGTCACGCAGCTCGCGCTCGGCTGGGTCATTTTGATGGCGTGGGCCATGGTCGCGGTCGCGTACTTTCGTTTTTTGGTCGAGCGGGGCCGCGGCGAGTACTTCCAGAAGCCGCTGCGCGAGGCGCGCGACTGGCACGTCCACGGCCTCCTGCGCCGGCGCCTGCCGCCCGCGGCCGTCGCCGTCGAGGCGAAGGACGACGGCGGCGCCGCCGCGGTCGCGTCGAAGGTGATCCAGGTGCACCCGTCGTTCCGCCTCGAGACCGTCGTCGACGAGGCGACGGGCGCGACGGAGCTCGTGCTCCGGCGCGTCGGCGAGAAGACGCCCTGGCCCGAGGACGTCGGCGAGCTCTTCCGCCACGACGCGCCGCGGCCCGCGGCCGCGCACCCGGACGAGGAGGAGGAGGACGACGTCGACGTCGACGACGTGCACGCGGCGCCGAAGCCGCTCCTCGTGCGGCTCAAGCAAAAGTTCTGCGCGAAGAAGAAGAAGAGGAACAAGTACGCGCGCGCGAAGCCCGCGAAGTCGAAGGAGCAGCTGCAGAACGAGCTCGTGCTGCAGAACAGCCGCCCGCCCGTGCTGACCGTGGCCACCTACATGACCTGCGTCGTCGCCCTGGCCGTGTGCCTGGGCCTCCAGCACGGCGGCGTCGTGCCGAGAGGGGTTTACGATTTGATCGACGACTTCCGCGCGCTCGGCAAGCTGAGCCGCTACTTCCTCCAGCAGCTCGACCTCGCCGAGGACGTCGCGGACGTCTTCGTCGACTACGCCAAGGAGCTCAACGCGACGGTCAACATCACGAGCTTCACGCAGATCGCCAACGTCACGCGCGCGGAGCTCGACGCGTTCGCGGGCGACCTCGATCGCGCCGCCGACGTCGCGGCGCTCGCGTGCGCCCAGGGCTCGCTCGACGCGGACCTCGCCGCGGCCTGCGCGACCTACGAGGCCGCCGCGAGCTGCGCGCCGGACTCCGCGGACGGCAGCTTCTCGCGCGCGTGCGGCGTCGCCGACACCGTCGACGTCGCGGGGAGGATCGCCGACGCGGCCGCGAAGCTGAGCGACTACGTCGTGCCCTACCTCGCGACGCTCCGCGAGGCCCTCGAGTTCACCGACGACCTTTCCGTGACGACCGTCGACAGCTCGACGGAGCTCGTCCACGCCGCGGAGGTGTCGTTCAGCGAGACGCAGCGTCCAGCTTGTTTTGTTCACCGCCCCGAGCCCGCGCCGACCGCCCCGTTTCCTAGGCATCGCGATCTGGTCCGCGTTCGCCTGGACGTTCCCCTTCATCTTGGCCGTGCTCTACCAGTGGGACTGCGCCGTCGGCGCGCTGCGGCGGGGCGACGCGTCGCGCAAGAAGGCCTTCGCGCACGCGCCGCTCGTCAAGGGGCCGAACATCCTGGGCCAGATGGTCAGCGGCTGGTTCTGGGCCTTTACGTTCCTGCTCGTGATCCTGTGGGTCGTCGTCATGTGCGTCGTCTTCCCGCCGATCCGCGACTACATCCTCACGTACCAGTGGGCGGCCATCAGCTTCGTCATCACCTTCATCCTCAAGGGCCAGATCCTGACGCCCAAGCTCTACAACAAGAAGGCGAGCGACGGCAAGATCATCACGTTTCGACGGCGGCGTCTCTTTTTTTAGGACTCTCGAACCGAACGTCGCGCGTCGTAGGTCGCGGGCCTACTACGCGCTCTGCTGCGTCGCGTGGATGTTCTACGGCTTCGCGACGGGCGCCTTCGCGGCGCTCACGCGCATGGTCTACTTCATCCTCTGGACGATCCAGGCGCTCTTCATCTACGACGGGTCGCTCCTCCCCGGGCCCCTCAAGTCGCTCGACGCGGGCCACGCGGCGTTCTGCTCCCTGCTCTGGGCGCACCACACGCACCACAACGTGACCATGGTCGCCGCGGCAGAGGTGCTCAGGGACGGCGCGAACTCGGGCGCGTCCCCGTCGTACCGCCGCGCGCGGAACAGGATGCAGCTCGCCTACACGCTCCTCAACAACCCGTCCGTCGTCAAGCACCGGCGCGACCACGCGGCGCTCAAGGAGTGCTCCTCGGAGAAGCGGGACCCGTCGAAGGTCCACCCGGTCTAAGTTTGTATGTAAGTTGTACGGCATCTTTGCTGCTCGTCATCAAGGAGTGCTCCTCGGAGAAGAGGGACCCGTCGAAGGTCCACCCGGCTAAGTTTGTATGTAAATTGCACTGCTCGATGTCAAGTTGAAGCGGCTCTCCGCATAAACTCCGAGAACATGAGCTCTCGCAAGCCGCGTCGAACGTGCCTCGTGCTTTGCCAAAAGCAAAGCAACCAGCAAGCGGCCTCGGTCGCACAACAGCAAGCGCTCGTCGCACACCACAGCACCGTCGCGCACGTGCACGGCCACGACCACCACGACCACCGCGACCGCGCGCTCGACAAGCACCATGGCTCGCGCCGCTGCGACGACCACGCACCAACGCTACAAGCTCGCGCTCGCGGCCATGGCCCTCTCCCGCGCCGCGGGCCACGGCTACATGAGCAAGCCGCCGAGCCGCAACTACGAGGCCTACCTGAACAACGGCTGGGACACGCCGGGCGCCGACGAGTACGGCCCGCACTCGGTCCGCGCCGCGGGCATGTTCAGCGAGTGCGCCGACTGCCCGAACCGCGGCTTCCCGGGCGTCAACCCCTGGTCGGCCCCGGGCACGGCGTCGTCCGTCGCCTACGAGGTGCCCACGGGCAAGCTCCACGGCGTCTGCGGCGCGTCGTGGAACGAGGCGTCGCTCGACTACAACGCGCCGTCGCCGGACGGCGTCTGGGGCACGGCGGCCAAGACGACCTACGCGGCCGGCGAGACCATCACCGTCGAGTGGTGCGTCTCCGCGGACCACGGCGGCGTGCCGGCCTTCCGGCTCTGCGACGACCCGGACCTCGTCGCCAAGGTGACGACGGCCGGCGCGGCGCCGTCGCTCGACGAGCTCCTCGACCTCGAGGCCTGCTTCCAGCGCGGCACGCTGCGCTGCGACGGCGCGGCGGGCGCCGACTGCGGCCTCGTCGACGCCTGCGCGGGCCACGGCGACTGGGAGGCGTGCGCCGACGAGGGCGAGTACCTCCACTGCCGCGACGAGTACGGCGTCGGCGGCAAGGCCTGGGCCTGCATCAATACGGAGGAGACCTGCCCCCACGGCTCCCTCGCGCGCTACGAGCTCAAGATCCCCGAGTCGACGCGGCCCTCGGCGCACACGGTGCTCTCGTTCCGCTGGGACACGTACGAGAACAACGAAGTCTTCTCGGGTTGCGCGGACGTCGAGATCCTCGCGGGCGACGGCGACCCATCGCCGACGCCCAAGCCCGTCGCACCCGCGCCGACGCCCCGGCCCGTCGCGACGCCGACGCCCGCGCCCGTCGAGCCGGCGCCGACGCCCGCGCCCGGCCCCGCGACGCCCGCGCCGACGGACGGCGACGCCGACGGCGCGGGCACGTGCTGCTTCTGGAGCGAGACGAACGACGCCTGCGCCTGCGGCTCCGTCGCGCCGCCGGAGAACTGGTGCGCCGCGTCCGAGACCCAGTGCCTCGCCTGCGGCGCGACGTGGTGCGCCTCCGGGAGCGAGCCGCCGAGCGACGGCGAGCCGCCGAGCGACCCGGACGAGCCCGTCGGCGAGTGCGTGCCCGCGCCCGAGTCCGCCGCCGTGAACAACACGGGCTACGCCGCGCACCACGGCGCGCTCGGCCTCGACGGCGTGCAGCTCGTCGACGCCCGCGGCGACGCCGTCCAGCTCCTCGGCATGTCGTCGCACGGCCTCCACTGGTTCCCGGACTGCTACGGCTACGAGGCGATCGCGCACCTCGTCGAGACCTGGGGCATCAACGTCTTCCGCGCGGCCATGTACGTCGGCGAGGGCGGCTACGCGACGGACCCGTCGATCTACGACACGGTGCGGGACGTCGTCGCGTGGACCAAGGAGCTCGGCGTCTACGTCGTCATCGACTTCCACGTGCTCACGCCCGGCGACCCGAACGCGTACCTCGACCCGGCGGACCCCGTCGCCCTCGACTTCTGGACCATGGTCGCCGAGGCGTACAAGGACGAGACGCACGTCATCTACGAGATCGCGAACGAGCCGAACAACGTCGCCTGGGACGACGTGCTCGCGTACCACAACGCCGTCATCGCCGCGATCCGCGCCGTCGACGCGGACACGATCATCGTCGCCGGCACGACGACCTGGTCCCAGGACATCCACCTCGCCGCGGCGAAGCCCGTCGACGCGCCGCGCAACGTCATGTACGCGTTCCACTTCTACGCGTGCTCGCACCAGTCGCTCCTCGCCCGCGTCGAGGAGTTCCGCACGGTCATCCCCATCTTCGTCTCCGAGTGGGGCACGAGCGACTACTCCGGCAACGGCGCGACGTGCGTGTGCGACGCGCGCGACTTCCTCGACGTCTTCTCGCGAGCGGCGCCGTCCATCTCCATGGCCCAGTGGTCCTGGGCCGACAAGGCCGAGGCGTCCGCGGCGCTGAACCCCGGCGCCTGCGCGGCGGGCGCCTGGGACGACCTCTCCGAGTCGGGCGTCTTCCTCAAGAAGTACATCCAGAAGGCGACGGAGACCAACGCGAACAACGCGGGCCCGCCGGGGGGCGTCGTCGCGCCGCCGTCGCCGACGCCCGAGCCCACGGCCGCGCCGCCCGCGACGACGGCCGCGCCGGTGCCCGCGCCGACGGCCGCGCCGGTGCCCAAGCCGACGCTCGCGCCGACGCCCGAGGACGAGGACGCGTGCGAGGACGACTCGGCCTGGTACTACAAGAAGGAGTCGAAGGACTGCGCCTGGGTCGCCGAGAAGCCGAACAAGCGCTGCCGCAAGAAGGGCATCCTCGCCGACGGCTCAAAGACGCGCGCCAAGAAAGCCTGCCTCGTCGCCTGCGACAAGTGCTAGGCCCCGCGACCACCCACGAACCCGCGGCCGCGACGACCCAAGCCCGTCGCCACCCACGATCTGCGGACGACCCAAGCCCGTCGCCACCCACGACCGCGACGACCCAAGCCCGTCGCCGCCCCTGCATAACCCCCTGCTTTTGCGACTTTACCGGTTAAGCCGCTCGAGCGCAGCTATGGCCTCCTCGTCGCCCTTGGCGGCCACGCGCGCGTACCAGCGCTTGGCTTCGTCGAGGTCTCGGTCCACGCCGTAGCCGTTTTCGAGGCACTTGCCGAGACCGTAGAAAGCGTTGAAATAACCTTGACTCGCGGACGATTTGAAGTAAGAGAATGCCGCATCAAAATTGCCGGCGCGGGCATTGTTGTTCCCGAGGTTGTACTGCGCCGTCGCGTCGCCCAGCTCGGCAGCCATCTTGTATAGCTGGTTCGCCTTCCTGACATCAAGCTTGACGCCGTCTCCGGTCTCCAAGAGAAATCCGAGATTCACCATCGCGTCCACGTTCCCGAGCTCCACGGCGCGCTTGTAAATCTTCGCGGCCTTCTTCGCGGATTTCACAAAGCCGAGGTCGCCGTCGCGGTAGCAATCGCCCAAATGCACTATCCCCTCGGGAATCTCGTTATGCACGTGTCGACGAAGCCGCACCAGCTGCTCCGCAACACCTTTTGGCGCCGGTGTACGGCAGAGAGGACACGGATCACCTCGAAACTTCTCCCCGCACGAACTGCAGACCGCCCGGCAGCAGCATACGAGAAGCAAAGACTCGTCATTCACGTCCCACTCCTCCAAGCAGATCGGGCACCGCGATCCGAACCGCACCGACTCCGGCTCCCGCTCCGGGTTCGCCTCGCGCCGCGCGCGGGCGGCCTCGTGTTCCGCGGCGATACGAGCGCGGACCTCGTCGGCGTGCGACCGCGGCGCGGGGCCGTAGAAAATCGCGCGCGGGGGCGACGGCGGGGGCGCCGGGGCCTCCGCGCGCGCCGCCTCCGCCTCCGCCCGCGCCGCCTCCGCCGCCCGCTCGTCCCGGATCTTTTTGCACGCCTTGCGATGCCCTCGATCGCGCCAATCGATTCTTTGACAATCGGTCGAGCAGTACGCAGTTGTACCGCAACCTTGACATGCTCGGGCACCCTTGTTCCCGCAAATCGTGCAGATATTCAGCGCAAGCTTTGTACGGGCCTTCTGCGCCTCGAAATCGCGCTTTTTCACAAGGCAAAGCCGGGTCCATGGCGTCGATCTCCACTCTCTCGACCTGCCGCCGGCGATCGAGCCTCGATCGTCAATCTCGTGACGCCTTCCGTGCTCGCCCGATATAGCCCGAGCTCGAAGGCAACGCAGCCCACGCCCCGCGCGACCCCGAGGTCCCTCAAATATAGTAGCACGACCGAAGCCTTCGCGGCGCGTTACGCGACGTCGCCTAGGCGAGCTTGGACTCGTTGGAGGCCTTGAACTTGGCCGCGATGAACATGCGCCCCTCGTGGAAGAGCGTGAGGGAGACGACGGCCTTGGCGATGCCGATGCCCTGGCCGCGGAAGACGCCCGAGAGGCCGAACTTGGCCATGTCCGCCGCGACCTCCTTGACGGCCTCGACGGGGCTGATGGCCTTGCCCTTGATGGAGTTGGTCTGCATGATGACCTCGAGGCGGCTCAGCCTACCGAGTGCGACGGGGTCGGATTTCTTCACATCTTCAGGCAAAATTCACGCGAAAAACACTCCTGTCGCTCGACGCTGGGCTCAGCGGGTTCGTGACGAAGACGTAGATGGGCGAGACGACCGCGGACGCGACGAGGTTCGTCGCGGAGCCGGAGATGGCGCCCGTCGCGCCGAGCTCCTTCTGGACGTACTTCTGGAGCTTGGGCTGGCCGACGAGGCCCAGGATCGCCGACGCGAGGGAGTGGCCCATGAGGGGGATCGTGCCGCGGAAGAGCGGCGCGAAGTTCTTGGCCTTGGCCTCGCTCAGGATCTCGAGGATGGGCTTCTCCGTGCCCGTCGTCTTGAAGTACGCGCGCTGCTGCTTCTCGACGAGGCGCACGGGGTTGATGAAGGGCGCGGAGCAGATGGACGCGCCTGCGAGGGCGCGTAGGTCATAGGTTCGTCTACGGTTCCGGACGAGGCTACGTAGCCTCGTAGGCGCCTACGTAGGCACCTACGCGCCGACACTGGGACGCGCAGGTCGCCGCCGCGAAGCCCGGGTCGCCCTCGCCGACGACGAACGAGTAGCCGAGGAGGAAGCCGAACTTCGGGATCCGCTTCAGGAGCACGCCGATGAGGCGCGGCCACAAGCCGCTCAACGACGCGCCGACGGGGTTCTTCAGGAACGTCGCGTTCGCCTCGGAGACGGCGACCTTGGGCGCGACCGTGTTCCCCTGGAGGTCCTTGGCGTACTGCTGCACGAGCTGGCGGTAGGCCGTCACCGGGTTGTCGCCCACGGTCTGGATCGCCGACCCGCCGAGGTAGGCGCACATGTTCTGGAACGGCGACACGCCGTTCTTGCCCACCTTGTGGTACTCGGCGCTGAAGAGGAACGCCATCGCGACGGCTTCGGCGCGGCGACGCGAGCGCGAATTTGTTTCGATGGCGACCACGTTTTCACCACACCCGGGCCGTTCGACCCAGGCGGCCGAATTTACCTCTCGAGCGCCGCCCGGAGCCAGTCCCGCTCCCGCGCCTCCGCGGGCGGCTCCTCCTTCGCGGGCGGCTCTAGCGGCAGGACGTCGTCGCCATCGTCGCAGGCCCAGAGGTGCCACGCGTCCCGCGCCGCGGGCTCGCCCGAGACGCCGCCGCCGCGCGCGTAGAGGTCCGGGCGGTGCCGGCGGCCGCTGAGGGCCGGGAGCGGCGGCTCGTCGAGGAGAAGCGCGAAGAGGTCGTCGAGCATGGCGGGGATCATCGCGCGCGTGACGTCCGTCCGCGGCGCGAGGACCGGCGACGCGTTGACCTCCAGCAGCCACGGGTCGAAGTCGTCCCGCAACAAAAAGTCGAAGCCGAAGATCTCGAAGCCCCGCCCGACGCGCGACAGCCGCGCGCGGCGCAGCACGTCCAGGCAGACGGACCGGAACCGCGGCTCGACCGCCGCGGCGTAGAACCCCGCGCCGCGCCGCGCGTCCACGAAAACGCGCGCCGACGTCTGCGCGACGACGTCGTTGTTCCGCTGGTTCGTCGTGTGGCGCCGGAGGGCCTCGCGGTCGTCGTCCTCGGGCGCCGCGGACCAGGGCCGCGTCGCGTGGCGCGCGTAGCCGTCGCCGTAGCCGTAGACGACGAGCGGATCCGCGGACGTCACGAGGACCCAGACCCGGAAGTCGACCTTGCAGCCGCGCTCGTCCAGGAGCGGCCGGTCCAGGTAGCGCTGCGCGACCGTCGCGTCCGCCGCGAGCGAGCCGACGCGCGCCGCGACGTGACCGACGACGTCGCCGAGCGAGCGCGCGACGGAGACCCCGCGGCCGTTGGACCGCCCGTCGGCCTTGAGCATCCAGAGGTCGAGGCGCGACGTCGCGTCGTAGGCGCGCGGCGCGCGCCGCCGGAGCGCGTCGAGCGCGGCGCGCGCGACCTCGCGCGTCGCCGCGCGGCGGGGACCGAAGCCCGCGGCGATCGCCGCCGCGCGGTCCCCGGCGCGGAAGAGCTCCGTCCAGGCCTCGTCGCCGACGCGGCCGCCGCCGCCGACGACGCGGGCGCACGCGTCCACGAGCCGCCGGTCCCCGGCGGCGTCGCCCGCGGGAGGGTCGGGTCGGTCGCCCGCAGGACGGGTCCCCGGGTCGCCCTCGTCGTAGACGCGCAGGACGGCGGCGGCCGTCGCCGCGGCGACGGCGCGGAGGAACAGCACGCAGTCGTTGGCCGTGCGCAGGACGCGCGTCTCGGGGTAGAACGCGCCGTCGCGCGGCCGCGCGAGCAACCCGTCGAGCCGGCTCTTGACGACGAAAACCTCCGCGCCGCGCAGGTGGTTCACGACCGTGTCGCGCGCCAGTCGCCGCCAGGCGTCCTTCATGGACGTCAGGCGCTCCCAGTAGAGCGCGGGCGCCCGGCCGCCGGCCAGCGCGGCGGCGAGGATGCCGTCGCCCTCGCAGGACTCGCAGGGCGTCCACGTCTCGTGCGTCCGCCGCCGCAGCGCCAAGACGACCTCGTGCGCGTGCGAGCCGACGAGGTAGGAGCCGGGCACGACCTGCACCGCATCATTGCTCATGCGAGCGACCTGGACCGCGGCATTGCTCATGCTCTCCGCGGGAGCACCATGCTCTTGCCATGCATGGTTTGAGGTTGCACCGCCTTCTCAATTCTCGGGGCAGCCTCGGCATCTCATCGGCGTCTTCGCTGCCTTCCACCGCCGAGCGCCACCCATCACGACCATGCCGAGCGACAAGAAGGTCTGCGTCGTCGTCGGCCTGGGCAACAAGGGCATCGGCGACCACTGCGCGAAGCAGTGGGCGGCCGAGGGCTTCGCCGTGGCCATGCTCGCGCGGCGCGCGGAGGTGCTGGCCGAGCTCGAGAAGGAGATCCCCGGGAGCCGGGCCTTCCCCTGCGACGTCACGGACCAGGCGCAGGTGGAGGCGACGGTGAAGCGCATCGCGGCGGAGCTCGGCCCCGTGGACGTCTGCATCTACAACGCGGGCCTCGGCATGTTCAAGTCGTTCGAGGAGACGTCGTTCGAGGAGTTCGAGCAGTGCTGGCGCTGCGGCCCCGCGGGCCTCTACCTCTTCGCCAAGGCCATCCTCCCGGGCATGGCGTCGCGCGGCGGCGGCGTCTTCGGCGTCACGGGCGCGACGGCGTCGTGGCGCGGCGTGCCGAAGACGCCCGCGTTCGCGAGCGCCAAGTTCGGCGTCCGGGCCCTGGCCCAGGCGCTCGCCAAGGACTACGCGCCCAAGGGCATCCACATCTTCCACTGCATCATCGACGGCGTCGTGAACCAGCCGCGGACGAAGGCCTGGTTCCCGGCGGATAAGCCCGACGACGAGTTCCTCTCGCCGGCGACCATCGCGAAGCACTACTGGGACATCGCCGCCCAGGAGAAAAGCTGCTGGACATTCGAGAGCAACGTCTGCCCCGCCGCCCGCATGTTCGACATGCTCACCATCTACTCGAGTAGGGTAGGTTGCACTCGTCCTTGAATCATCGTTGAAGGATTTCGTCGAGCGAGATGGCAGCCCAAGTTGTGGCAGCCCAAGGCGAGCCCACGCTGGAGGACGACGAAGCAACTTTCAAAGCCACGCGCCACCGCGCGCAGCGGTCCGGCATCGCGCTGGCGCGGTTCCTGCAGGCGACGGGCCTCGAGGTCTACCAGCGCCACCTCGGCGAGCGCCTCGGTCGCGCCGCCTTCGCAAAGGACCAGCACCTGCTGCGGCTCGCCGTCGAGGAGAAGAAGCGCGTCGACCCCCACTTCCGCGAGGTCTTCAACGAGGCCTTTGGGCAGATCGCGTACTGGGACGAGACCTACGCGAAGCGCGATTCACACTTCGACTGGTTCGTGTCCTTCGACGACGTGCGGGGCATCCTCGAGCCGCTCCTCCCAAACAAAAACGCGAAGATCTTGATCCCCGGCTGCGGCGACGCGCCGTTCACGCGCGACCTCTGCGTCCGCGGCGGCTACGCGCGCCTCGTCAACGTCGACGCGTCCGAGGTTGTCGTCGCGCGCATGCGCGCCGCGGAGGCGTCGCTGCCGGGCACGGTCGAGTGGCACGCCATGGACGCGCGCGCGCTCACCTTCGAGTCCGAGTCCCACGACGCGGTCATCGACAAGGCGCTCCTGGACTGCGTGCTCTGCTCCGACGACAAGGCGGCCGCGGCCGAGGTCCTCGCGGAGTTCCACCGCGTGCTCCGACCCGGCGGCACGCTCGTCCTCTTCAGCGCCCACACGCGCGCCTCGCTCGAGCGGACCTTCGCGAGCCAGGCGGGCTGGTGCTTCGGCCACCTGGGCATCGAGTCCGAGGACGCGGGGAAGCCCTTCCTGCTGAGCGTCGTCATCTGCGAGAAGCACGCGGCCGGCGTCGCCGAGAAAGCGTGCCAGGCCGCCTTCGAGGCGCGCATAGAGGCCCTATTCGGCGCGTAACAAGAAAATCACACTTAGAAGAACATCCGCCGGCGCTGCTGCTGTTCAAGTTGCCGGTAGCGCGCGAGGTAGAGTGGCGTAACAGACAACCACATTTAGGAGAACAACCGCCGGCGCTGCTGCTGTTGCCGGTAGCGCGCGAGGTAGAGCGACGGGACCGCGTCGAGCTCGTCGGGCCGCGGCACCGTGCTCCGGGGCCGCGGGCCGTCGGCGTCGTCGTCGTCGCGGCCCCGGCGGCGGAGGCGGTCCGCGCGGCCGCGGCGCGCGAGGCCGCGCCACGCGGCCAGGAGCTTCGGCGCCGTCCGGCGGAACCAGACGGCGAGGCGCGCGCGGCGCGCGGCGCCGGCGACCGCGCGGAATGCGCGCGCCAGCGTCCGCCGACGGCGGCCCGCGGCGTAGCGCTCCGCGCGCGCGTGGAGCAGCAGCGCCCGAAAGGCGTCGCGCCCGGCCGCCGCGTCGCGCCGCGCGTCGCGCCGGCGGCCGAGGCGCGCGGCGGCGCCGGCGACGCGCCACGCGCGAACGGCGGCGGCGAGCGTCGCCGTCTCGCGGCCGCGGCGGAGGCGCATGGCGCCGACGTCCGCGCGCCAGGCGCGGAAGACGGCGACGCGGAGCCGGTTCTCGCCGAGGCCGCGCGCCGCGAACCCGAGGCGGCGCACGAGGACGTTCGCGCGGAGCGCCTCGAGGCCCCGCGCCGCGCGCCGCCGCGCGGAGACGCGGTCCGCGGCGGCCCGCGACCGAGACCGCCGGCGCCAGGTCCGCAGGGCCCGCGCCCGGGCGGCGCGCGAGCCGCGCGCGGCCGCGTCGCGGCGCGCGCCGCGCGTCGCCGCGGCCCGGGCCCACGCGGCCAGCGCGCGCCGCGCGACGGCGACGACGACGTCCCGCGCGGCGAAGTAGCGCCTTTGGCGCCGCAGCGCGCCTTCGGCGAGGCGTCGGAGGACGCGGCGGCACCGCGACACGTCGTGGGCGGCGTCCGCGGCGGCGGCGACGGCGCCGCGGTCCTCCCGGCGGAGCCGCCGCGTCCGCCGCGTCTCCGCCAGCGACGCGAAGCCCCGCCGCAACCGGGCCCGCGCCGCGTAGGCCGCGGCGCCGCCCGCGGGGCCCGGCCAGGCGGCGATGGAGCGCGCGGCGAAGGAGCGCCAGCCGCGGAGCGCGCGGCCCGCGACGGCCGCGCGCCTCCAGGCCCGGAGGAGCCGGGGCCCGCGGACGCGGACGGCGGCGGCGCGGGCCCGCTCGCGCTCGGCGGCGCGTTGCGCGCAGCGCGCCACCACCGTCGCGCGCCAGGTCCGCAGCGCGCGCCAGGTGGCGCTCTTGACGCTCCGCGACTCCGCGACGACGGCGAGGACCGCCGCGTCCTCGCGCGCTCGCGCGCGCGCCGCGAGCGACCGGCACGCGCGCGCGGCCCGCGCGCGCTCCAGCCAGCGCGCCGCGAGGGCCACGTCTTCCCGCGCCTCGCGCCGGCGGCGTCGGAACGCGAGCCAGAGGCCGAGCGCGCGCGGCGGCCGGGGGTCGGCCACGGCGACGTCGACGGAGCGGCCGGCGCCCGCGCGGCGCCGCCACGCGACGAGCGCCCGCCGCTCGACGTCCCGGGCCCGGGCGCGCGCGGCCGCGGCGTCGAGCGATGCGGCCGCCCTTCGCCGCGCGGCCGCCGCGACGATCGACGAGAACGCGCGCCGCCGCGCCGTCCGCGCGAAGAGGCCGTCGCCGCGCTCGAAGCGGCGCCGCGCGGCGGCCGTCGCCGCGACGCCGTCCCGCAGCCTCCGGAAACACGCGCCACGCGCGAGGACGCGCCGCCGCCGCCGGTCCGCCGCGCGCTCCCGCAGCGCGCCGAACCCCTCGACGAGCGCGCCGCGCCGCTCCGCGGCGCGGCGGCGCCGGCCGAGCGCGCGGCGCTTCGCGCGGCGCCGCAGCCAGCCAAAAACTTCAGCCTTGGCCTTGCGCGCGTTCGCCGCCCAGAGCGCGGGCAGCCGGTCGAGCCGCGCGCGCTTCTGGCCCAGCGCGCGGAGCGCGCGGCGGCACGCGGCCGGGCCCGCGGACCGCGCCGCGCGGCGCCGCCGGAGCCGGCCGACGGTCCAGGCGCGCCACGCGCGGACGCCCCGCGCCTCCGCGCGGTCGCTGCGCCAGTCGTCGCCTCTGCTTTTGGCCCGCCGCGCCCGCGACCGCCAGGCGACGTAGATGCGCAGGCCGAGGAAGAAGCAGCGGACGGCCGCGACGCCGCCGCGGCGCCGCCGGTCGCGGCGCCGCGCGAGCGCCGACAGGTGGCCATCGCTCGCCCCGAGCCAGCGGTCGAAGGCGTCGCGGGGCGCGACGAGCCGCGCCAGGGGCGCCAGCGACGCCGCGCTCCGCGCCGCGCCGCGCCAGGCGACGAAGACGCGGGACGCGACGCGGCGCCGCCGGTGCGTCGCGGCGCCTCGGAGCCGCATCGCGGCGCTCCACACCGCCCAGGCGCGCGCGAGCTCCGCGGCGCGCTTCGTCGCGCGCGCTCTGGCCCCCGCCCGCGCCACGCGCCGCCGCTCGCGCAGCCACGCGCGCCAGGCCGCGAAGCCGCGGCGGCGGCCGGAGCGCCGCGCGCGTTCGAACGCCGCCGCGTCCGCGGCGCGCGCGTCCGGCCCGACGCCGAGCCGCCCGGACCAGCGCTTCACGGCGCGCTGCGTCGCCGCTTCCTGGGCGCGGTCGTCGTAGCCCGCGAGCTCCCAGCGCCGCGCGCGGCGCTGCTTCGCGCGCGCCTCGAGCGCGGCGATGACGCGGCGCCGCGCGGCGTCGCGCGCGACGGGGTCCGCCCGCGCGTGCGCCGCCTTGAGCGCCGCCGTCACCGCGGCCCAGGCCGCGAGGACCTTGGCCGCGGCGACCCAGGGGTCGTCCTCGGCGAAGAACTCGGCGTCGTCGAGGCGCGCGAGGATCCGCGGCAGCGGCGGCAGGGCCTCGGGGTCGCCGTCGGAGCGGATGACGAGCTCGCAGTCGCGCGCGGCGCGGCGCGACTCCTCGCGCGCGGCGCGCACGGCGCGCGCCTCGGCGCGCCAGGGCGCGCGCGCCGCGCAGAGCTCGTTGACGCCGCGCCACGCGTTCTCCGCGCGCCGCGCGGACGAGAGCCGGCTCGCGCCGCCGCAGATGCACATGAGCCGGTCACAGGAGACGCAGCGCGGCGCGATGACATCGAGCTTCGCGCGCCGCGCCGGCGGCGGCACGAACTCGTCGAAGTTGTAGTCCGCGAGCGCGCGCGGCGGCGGCGGCGGCGGCGGCGAAGCGACGAGCGCGCGCGACGGCGGCGGTGGCGGCGGCGCTTCGGCCTCGTCTTTTGTGGGCTCCGCCTCGAGGCAGAGGAGCAGGTCCCGCAGTTCGTCCTTGTAGCTGGACGAGAGCATCGTTACGATAGCATGCTATCCATCATCGTACAGTTTGGGGCTGCTTTTATGAACCGTGGCAAGTTGCGATGTTTACCTTCGAGTCGACGTGGATTCCCCTGCGTGTGGGGCTGCCCATCCTCGTCGTTTGCGCGCGCCGTCGTCGTCGCCGTCGGCAACAACCTCTGCGTCGTCGTCGGCGGCGGCGGCGGCTTCGCACGATCGCGTCGTTTCCGGCCGACGCGTCCGCGGCGCTCGAGGCCCTCCCGCGCGCCAAACCCGTCCGGAGCCCCGAGACCGGGCCCGTGCGACCCGTCGTCGCCATGGAGGTCGAGCGCCTGGAGGCCATGGCCGAGGGCGACGCCGTCACGCCGACGGGCCCGCCGCGGCAGTCGCCGATCTCGCTGGCGCGGCCCGCGCGGCAGCGGCCGCGGCAGTCGACGCTCATGCAGGACGGCGCCCAGGTCGAGGTCGCGCCCGAGGCGCCGCCGCCGCGGCCCTACACGGTCCTGGCCTACAAGACCATGGCGACCATGGCCGAGCGGCTCGTCGCGGCCGAGCCGCAGCGGTTCCGCTACTTCGAGACGTCGTGGGGCCGCTTCGAGGACAGCGGCATGGACGACATCGTCGTCGGCGGCTTCGCGCCGACGAACCTCGTGCGCCACACGCACGTGCTGATGATGTGCGACTTCCACAGCAACGACGCCATCCTCTCGCAGCTCCACGTGCTGATCATGCTCTGCGAGTCGTTCATCGCGTCGCTGACGATCTTCCTGCCCTACCTGCCCGTGGCGACGAAGGAGCGCGTCACGGTCGAGGGCCAGGTCGCGACGGCGAACACGGTGTCGCGCATGCTGTCGTCGCTGCCGCACCACGGGCCGCCCGCGCGCTGCATGTTCTTCGACCTGCACACGTTGCAGCAGCGCTTCTATTTGCACAGCGGCGCGGCGGCGAGCATGCACTCCTGCATCCCGCTGCTGCAGAAGTACGTCCTCGGCGACGGCAAGTGCGGCATCGACGCGCTGGCGTTCCCCGACGAGGGCGCGCAGAAGCGGTTCGGGCACCAGCTCGCCGACGAGGGCCTCGACTTCATCGTCTGCGGCAAGCAGCGCGTCGGCAACGACCGCAAGGTCACGATCACGGACGGCGAGGCCCGCGGGAAGCGCGTCCTGATCATCGACGACATGGTCAAGACCGGCGGCACCTTGGCCGAGGCCGCGAAGGCGCTCAAGGCCTCGGGCGCGACGCGCGTGTCCGCGTTCGTGTCCCACGCGGCCTTCCCCGGCGACTCGTACCGGCGCTTCTGCAAGGGCGGCGACCGCGCCGTCTTCGACCGCATCTACGTGACGAACTCGAACCCGCTCGTCGCGGAGCGCCTCGCCGCGGTCGACCCGTTCGTCGTCCTCGACATCCTGCCCCAGCTGCTGGTGGATTTGTAATGCTAGAAATATAATTCACGCACTTAGCTCAGCGATGACCTCCCTCATAAAGCTATTGTTCCTTTCGGGTAGGTCGGCCTTGGCAAGCACAATCGTGAACAGACGTATGACTTCGTCGGGTCTTTTCTCAACGCCCGATCCAAAATAATACGCTCTGCCAAGGAGAAAAGAGCCCAAGGTATGGCCTCGGTCTGAAGAGAGTTTCGCGTATCTGAATCCGGCCTTCAAATCATCCTCCAGGGCTTCCGGGTCGGGCTTCAGAAGACAATATGCCATCATCGCTTCCCCTCGCCCGTCGCCTCGGTCCGCGGCCGCGCGAAACAGCTGCATCGCCTTCACGTGGTTCAGTTTCACACCATCTCCGCCTCCTCGTTCATACATGATCCCAAGCTTAAACATTGCTTCCGTGTCCCCGAGCTCCACGGCTCTTTTGAAGAGTCTCACGGCCTTCTTCGACGATTTCACGAGGCCGAGCTGACCGTGTTGGTATCCGATCGCGAGCTGCCTGATCGCCTCAGGCACCTCGTTAACCACGTGGCGACGAATGTGAGCCAGAACCTCCGCATCATCTTCTGGCGGCGGTGCACGGCAGAAAGGGCATGGATCTTCCATTGTTTTATGCGCGCACGGCTTGCAAATTGTCCGACAGCAACAGGGGCGAAGCATCGGATAGTCATTCACGTCCCACTCCTCGCGACAGATCGGGCATCGCGACCCAAACCGCGCCGACAACGGCTCCCGCTCAGGATTCGCCTCGCGCCGCGCGCGGGCGGCCTCGTGTTCCGCGGCGATACGAGCGCGGACCTCGTCGGCGTGCGACCGCGGCGCGGGGCCGTAGAAAACCGGCTGCGCGGGGGGCGTCGGGGCCTCCGCCCGCGCCGCCTCCGCCGCCCGCTCGTCCCGGATCTTCTTGCACGCCTTGCGATGCCCTCGATCGCGCCAATCGATTCTTTGACAATCCGTCGAGCAGTACGCTGTGGTTCCGCAACCTTGACATGCTCGGGCATCCTTGTTCCCGCAAATCGTGCAGATATTCAGCGCAAGCTTTGTACGGGCCTTCTGCGCCTCGAAATCGCGCTTTTTCGCGAGCAAAGCCGGGTCCATGCTCAAAGTGATCTGGTGTCGGGCGAGCGGCGACGTCGATCTCGACGAGTTCGCTTATCCAGGGATCTCGACGAGTCCGCAAGCCTTCCGCATCGGCCGCGACTACTCATACGGGCGGGCGTCTTACGAGGGCCACTTCCCCGTCAGAAGTGGTAGGTGAGGTCGACGTTGACGGTCTCGAGCGGCTTCTCCTCCGGGTTGACGATCTTGTTGGGCCCGCCGCGGAGGCCCTTGAAGTACTGGATGCGCACGGGCGGGTTCGTCTCGCCGTCCTTGCGGCTCTGGGTCGAGGCGATCTTCGGGAGGAAGACCTGGGTCGTGTTGTTGCGGCGGAAGTGGGACTCGTCGGTCTGCTGGCTCGTCGTCGCGCAGTGCTTGAGCTGCGCGAGGCGGAGCGCGCGGCGCCGGAGCGCCCAGTCGTTCCACTCGTAGGCCGGGTCGATGTGCTTCTCGACGAAGTGGACGGGCGTGTCCGTCGACGCGTCGCGCGTCGCCGCCGGCGCGAGGAGGGCCTTGGCGACGGCCGTCGCCTGGCCCGGCTCGGCGCCCTTGCCCGTGATCGCGCGCGACGCTAAAATCTTCGCGATGGACGTGCCCGGGTACGAGTCCTGGAGGCGCAACAGGTGCACGAGCTCCGGCGCGAGCGTCGCCTGGGCGACGACGCCCTCGCGGACGGCCTCCGGCGCGTCCATGAACGCCTTGAGCGCGACGGCGTGCGCGAAGACGTAGCAGGACCCGCGGTACTTGACGACGCCGAGCGCCGGCTTGCCCGGCAGCAGCAGGCCGTGGCGGTTCGCCACGGTCCAGCCGCAGAAGCCCTGGTACTCCAGGGGCAGCTGCATGAACTCGGGCGTCGTCTCGACGCTCAGGCGCACGGGCACGTCCGCGTTGTCGCGCGCGCCCGTGGGCAGGTCGTCGAGCGCCTTGGCGTCGTCGTCCTCGGCGGCGCTCGCCGCCGACGGCGCGCCCTCGACGGGCGCCGCGACCGCGGCCGCGGCCTGGTCGCCGCCGAGCTTGGACACGGCCTCGGCCATCTCGGCCTCGTCGTCGACGGCGCCGCCGCCGTCGGGCTTCGCGTGGCTCTCGAGCCGCGCGGCGCGGTAGACCGGGTGGTTCGCGCCGCAGGTCATGTTGTAGGACTCGCGGAACTGGTGGAGCTCCTCCAGGGTCGCCACCCGCGACTCGACGACCCGCAGCTCGTCGTCGAGCGCGAACCACGCCGTCGCGATCGCGTCGAACTTCGGGTAGACGTGCTCCTTGGGCACGGACGCGCGCCCGCCCACGAGGGCCTGCAACTCGTCCATCTCCGTCGCGAAGCGCTCCCGGTGGACCTGGACGCGCCGCGCGGACGCCGCCGCGTCCTCCGCGAGCGACGTGAGGTACGCGCCGTACTGGCGCCGGTTCGCCAGCTCCTGGGCCCAGCGCTCGAGCTGCGCCGGCGCGACGCCCGGCGGCTGGCGCAGGTGGCAGTACACGAGCGTCTCCTGGTAGCGCAGGGCCAGGTCGTGCTGCTCCGCCGTCTCCGCGTCGAGCGCGTCCCGCAGGTCGCTCACCGTCGTCGCGACCGCGTCCTCCACGTGGTCCAAGCCCGCGCCGCCCTTGCCGCCCTCGCGGTTGAACAGGCGGATGCCCGTCACGATGCGCGCCAGCTCCTCGAGCTGGAGCCGCTTCTCCTCGCTGCTGAGCTGCACGAAGCTCTTGAGGCCGATGCGCGGGAACACGGACTCGAGCGCCGCGGCGATCTCGCGCTCGACGGCGCGCTCCATGGACCCCGGGTCCTCGGCGGCCGTCGTGTTCGACGGCGCGCCGGGCAGGCCCGAGCCGCCGCGGCTCACGTGGAGCAGGTACGTAAAAATCTGCCGGTAGAGCGCCGTCAGCGTCTCGAAGTCCGTGGACCCCCGGGGCTTCACGGCGAGGATCGCCCGCACCAGTTCCCGCTTCTTCTCCTCGCGCGCCTTGCGGCTCTTGTCGAGCTCCTCCTCGAAGCGCACGTACGTCGAGTCGAACGCGACCTGCATCTTGATCGTCTCGAGGCTCGGCGCGTCCTTCTCGCAGAGCCGCGCGATGGACATGCGGATGAGCGTGTCCACGCCCTCGCTCGTCAGCTCCTTCTCCGGCGAGAAGAGCAGGGGGTCGCTCTCCAAGATGGTCCGCGCGATGAAGGCGGCGAGCACCGCCGGCACGCGCTGCCCGCGGCCCGCGCATCCCTGGCAGATGTCCTACGATGGGGTCGCGTTATGAAATGACGCGTCGGAAACGAAGCCGGCGCGCACCTTGATCACATCCTCCAACTCGTCCATGATGCGCCCCCGGGGGCACCGACGACTGGAGGCAGCCAACACCTCGTCGCGTTACAACCGGATGCAAGCTATTGATACTTTTTTGGTTTGCCCGACGGTGCAGCTCGCTCTCAAGCTTATGCGCGGCCAAGTCGCGCTGGGCCTGTCGCTCGTCACGTGCATCGCCGCCATCGGCTACGCCCACTTCGCGCAGGTCGAGGACCGGCGGTTGATGCACGAGGGTGTCGTCCGCGACAAGGCGCGACTCAAGGAGCAGCGCCGCGAGGCGAAGCGGCAGCAGCGCGCGCAGGAGAAGTGATGGACGACGACTTCGACGCGCGCGACGACGCGGCGCTGATCGACGCCTTCGACACGGCCTGCGCGCGCTACCCGCACGGCTGGGACGCCGCCGCGCCCGTCGAGGGCGTCGACGCGGCGCCGGACGACGACGGCGGCGCCGCCGCGGAGCCGCCGGCCGCCGCCGCCGCGGAGCCGCCGGCCGCCGCGGAGCCGCCGGCCGCCGCGCCGCTCCCGACGAACCTGCCCGCGCCGCCGGCGTCGAGCTTCGTCGCGCCGCCATTACCCGCCGGCGCGGCGCCGCCGTTCCCGTCGCCGCCGGCGTCGGGCGACGACTTCGGCGACCTGCTGAGCTCGTGGTACTACGCGGGCTACTACACGGGCCTCCAGGAGGCGCGCGCGGCCGCCGCCGCGAAGCGCGCGGGCCAAGCGCCTCCGCCGGACCCCTAGGTAGAAGTATGGTTCTCAGTTTACGAAGCGGGGGGGCAGACGGGGGGTCGGCGCGCCGGGACGCGAGTCCCGCGCTCGGGGTCCGGCGGGGACCCCTAGCCGTAGACGAAGAGGCAGAGGGACGCGGCCATGACGACCATGCCCGCGGTGATGGATTTCGTGACGACCTTGTCTTGGGGGTCGTAGCGGTGCGCCGTGGGAATGAGCTCGTTGAGGCAGATCATGACCATCATGCCCGCGACCATGCCGAAGACGATGCCGTAGAGGAGCTCGTTGAAGTGGTCCTTGAGGAGGAGCCAGCCGAGGAGGGCGCCGACGGGCTCGGAGACGCCGCTGAGCAAGGCCCAGCGGAAGGCCTTCCACCGGTCGCCCGTCGCGAAGTAGATGGGGATGGACACGCAGAGGCCCTCGGGGATGTTGTGGATCGCGATGGCGAGGGCGAGCGCGCCGCCGACGGCGGGGTCGTCGAGGGTCGCGACGAAGGTCGCGAGCCCCTCCGGGAAGTTGTGGATGCCGATGGCGAGCGCCGTCATGACGCCCATGCGCTCGAGCGGCTTGTCGCCCGCGGCCTCGGGGGCCTCGACCTCGAGCGCCTTGGCGCCGCTCTCGGCGTCGGTGTCCTCGGACGCGTTGGGCCGGCCCTCGGCCTGGGACGGCGCGCCGGCCTCGTCGGCGACGGCCCGGGCCTTTCGCTTCCGCGCCTCGATCTCGTCGAAGACGTCGTCGCCCATCGCGCAGCACGACGCGGCCGGCGCGTCGCCCTCGACGGACTTGGGGATGTAGCGCGCCGGGTCCGACGACATGTGGCCCGTGTGGTTCGGGTCCAGCGTGTGGACGAGCGCGTCCAGCAGGCTCATGAAGAGCATGCCCGCGAAGAGCGACGCCGTCGCCGCGAGGTACGCGTCGTTCGGGCCCATGACGCTCGACGCCTCGAAGCCCATCTGCGACTTGACCATGATCTCGACGAAGCTCACGTAGAGCATGACGCCCGCGGACAGGCCCAGGGCCCCGGCGAGGAACGGCTTCGACGCGAGCTGGACGAGGCGCTCGGAGAAGACGACGGCCGCGCCGATGCCCGTCGACGAGCCGGCGCCGCAGACGAGGATGAACCCGAGCTCGGCTTTGGACAGACCCATGGTGGCGGTCCTCCCGAGCGTTCGAAGGCTGCCAACGTGCGACGGCCGACGTCCAAAACTTTTATCGCGCAGGACGAGGACGAGCCAAAAGCAAGACCGGCGTATATGCTGAGGTCGCTCTTTCTCCACAAGCCCATCGAACCTCCAGCGTCACGGAGGTGGACCTCGTCGACTTCGTCTGACCCCACCCTTAAAAACCATGCGCTCCTTCGACGAGATGGACGGCCGGTCGTCGCGCCTCGAGCGCGAGGCCGCGCAGCGGCGCGACGAGGCGAAAAAACGGGCCGAGAAGGAGCGCCTCGCGAAGCAAAAGTTCGACGCCGACGCCGCCGTCGCGAAGCGCGAGCTCGAGGCGAAGCGCAAGCGGGACGCGGCCATCGCCGAGGCCAAGGAGGCCGCGGCCCTCGAGCAGTCGCGGCTCACGGGGGGCGTGCGCTGGCAGAAGACCTACCGGAGCGCGGCCGTCGCGCGCCACGGCGACCGCGTGTCGCTGCCGCAGTCCGCGCTCGAGGACCTCACGGCCCTCGGCGTGCTCGACGGCGCCGGCACGGCTCTGACCTTCGAGCTCGAGCTCGTGGACCCGGCGAGCGGCAAGGTCAGCGGCGTCCGCGAGGCCGAGTTCGTCGACGCCGCCGGCCGGCGGTCGCGCGCGCGCGCCGCGCGCGCGACGGCCATGGACGTCGACGGCGACGACGACGCCAAGGCGAGCGAGCGCCTGCCCATCTCGGCGACGGCGACGCACTGCGGCGTGCTCGACTTCGTCGCCGAGGACGGCGCCATCGGCCTGCCGCCGAAGACGATGCTCTCCTTGGTCCGCGGCGACCCGGAGCTCGCGGCCGCGCTCGAGGCCGGCGACCTGCGCGTGCGCTGCCGCTACGTGCGGCTGCCGCGGCCCGCGGAGTCGTCGTGCTCGCTGCGGCCCATCGCCGAGGGCTTCCACGGCGACGGCAAGGACGAGGCGGCAGTCGACCTCGAGGCCGTCCTCACCCGGGAGCTCGGCCGCGGGCGCCACGCGTGTCTGACGGTTGGCGACTGGATCGCCGTCAAGCACGACGGCGCCACCGTGCGCCTCGTCGTCGCCGACATGTCGCCCGAGGACGCGCTCTGCGTGCTCCGGACGGACCTGAGCGTCGAGGTCCTGCCGCCGATGGCCCTCGAGGACGAGAAGAAGCGCCTCAAGGCCGTCGAGGCGCGGGCCGAGCAGCGGGCCGAGGCGCGCGAGGCGTCCGTGAAAGCGGCGGACGATGCTCTCCGAAGCCGGGGGGCCGCGTCCGCCCCGGCCGCGCGCGTCCGCCTCCGCTTCCCCGACGGCCACAAGGCCGAGGCGACCTTCGGCACGGCCGAGCCCGCGGCGCTGCTCGGCACTTTGGTCGACGCCCACGCCGGCGCGGGCGCCGGCGCGCGGCTCCCGCTGGGGTCGTCGTGGCGCCTCGTGAGCGGCTACCCGCGGAAGGTCCTGGGCCCCGGCGACCTCGCGGGGTCCGTCGGGTCCCTGGGCCTCGTCGACGCGGCCCGGGGCGGGGGCCTCGCGCTCCTCGTCGAGGTCGCCGACGGCGGCGACGCGCCCGACGCCGACGCCGTCGCGGCGTCGCGCGACGGGTCCGACGTCTGGGCGCGCGCCGCGGCGTTCGCGGACGCGGAGCGCGCGCGGGAGACCAAGGACGACGAGCTCCTCGTCGACGCCGCCGCGGAGATCGAGTTCAGCCGGAAGGACCTGAGCGGCGCGTCCAAGGCGGACCTCTTCAAGACGCTCGTGGGCCGGGGCTTGGAACGGAACCGCGCGGCGAACGCGGCCCAGCGCTACTCGTCGCAGCTCCTGGAGCTCGACGGCATGGGCCTCTTGGACGACCCGACGCGCTGCGTCGCGCTCCTGGACCGCTACGGCGGGCGCCTGCTCCGCGTCGTCAACGCGCTCTCCGACGAGCGCGAGGCGTCGTTCGACGCCGCGGCCTACGAGCCGCCCGCGCCCGCGCCGCGGCCGCCCGCGCCGTCGTCCCAGGAGGCCTTCGCGGCGGCCTTCGCGCGCCACGTCGCCGCGGGCCTGCCGCCCAACGAGGCCGCGGCCGCGGCGCTCGCCGAGGCCGCGGGCGCCGCGCCGACGCCCGTCGCGGACAAGTGGGCCGAGCAGCGCGCGGAGCTCAAGGCCATGGGCTTCGACGACGGCGCGCCGCGCACGCTCGCGCTCCTCGACAAGTACCAGGGCCGCCTCGACCGCGTCGTCAACGCGCTCGCCGAGGCGTAGCTTCAACTAAAACTTTGTTGAAGTTCTTTCTGAGGACGATGTCGGGGCAGCCTCTCCCAGCATTGAATCACGCCGCGGCCGGTCGAGGTCGGCGGACCTGGCGCGCGCGGTCGGCGCCGTGCTGCTGGGCCTCTGCCTGCACACGTTCCACACCTGCGGCGGCGCCGATGGTGGGCACGAGCTCCGGGACGCGCACCCGCTGTCGGGCCGCTGCGGCGGTGGTGCGGGCGACGAGCACGAGCTCCTGGAGTTCGCGCTGCTCCTGGTCGAACGCTGCGTTTGGGGCTACTTTCTGACGATAATGGCGTGCTGGTTCGTCTTCTTCTCCGCGCTCGAGGCCATGATCTTGAAATATCTGGACGTTTTGGTCGAAGTCGCGCCGATCGTCGCGCGCAACCTCACGGCGTGGCCCAACACGGCCGTCCTGACGGTGGCGCTGGCCGTCGCGATGCTCGGCGCGGCGCTCATCCTCGACGTCGTCCTGCGCCACCGCCCCCTCGCGCTCTCCGCGAGGCCGCGGACGGACGGATCCGCGGCGGGGCGTCGCGCGCCCCCTCAGCGGCCCAAGCGGCGGCCCAAGTCGCCGCCCCGGGAGCACGTCTCCCTCGGAGTGGGACGGGGGGACGAGGACATCTCGATTGCGCGCGACGCGGGGCCCGCGCTCGACCGCGCTTTCAACATCATCGAGGACACCTACGGCGTCCTCGACCGCGACGGCCTCCCCCTCGACGTCAAGCGCGACCTCCTCAATCGCCTCGACGACGACGTCGCCGGCGGCATCATCACGTCGCTCTACAACAAGATCGAGGAGCGCGGGTCCATGAAACCACCACCGGGCTGGCTTGTCTGCCTGGATTTCCTGGCTCGAGGAACAGATCGGCATCGCGAAGCGCCTTCACAACCAGTAAGCCTTTAAAAATACCCCAACCCGAAGACCCGTCGGATCTGCTCCGTGAGGGGCAGCTGGACGAGCATGACGGGCCCCTGGCGCATGAGCGCGGGCAGCAGGCCGCGGTAGAGCGCGAGCACGCCGCGTTCGCGCGCGAGGCGCGCGAAGCGCGCGGGCGACGACTCGGCGCTCGAGCTGTCCATCACCAGCGTCTTGACCGTGTCCACGGGCTGGATGACGAGCTGCGCGACGAAGCCGCTCAGCAGCGAGCAGCAGACGTGGAGCGGGACGCCCTCGGCGAAGCCCAGGCGCTCCTTGAAGCTCCGCTTCGCCGTGTCGTAGGTCGCGAGCTGCGAGCCCGAGAGGAGGCTCGCGCGCGCGACGCTCACGGGCCAGCCCCGCCACAAGCCCGCGACGCCGCCGCCGTCGGCCGCGATCGCGCGCAGGCCCGCGGCGACGTTCCACGTGGGGTAGCGGCTCGGCGCGAGCTGGAGCCGCACGCGCAGCAGGTCGAGCGGGTTGAAGACGAGCGCGCCGACGAAGCCCGTCGACGCGCCCGCGCCGATGCGGACTAAGAGATCCGGCAGCCCGCGGTCCGAGAAGGCGTCGCGCGCCGACGGGTACGCGCCGATGCGGAAGCCCGTGTACGTGAACGCGCGGCAGAAAGTCGGCGCGAAGGCCGGCCGCCACCAGCCCCGCAGCACGCCGGCCTCGGCCCGGGCCTCCCTCGCGATGTCGACGAGCGGCCGCGGCGACGCTTGCTGCCGGACCTTGAAGGTCTCCAGCGGGTGGAACGTGCTGTCGGCGACGGCGCAGCCGCAGCCCGCTGCGAAGACCTCGAGCCCGAAGGTGGCCGCGGTCTTGGGCATTTGTTTTGCAGCTATGGGCTGCCCTAGCCTCGTGCTAAGGCCATCGCATGGGCTCTCCCTAGCTTAGTAACTCTAGTATCTTGTGGCCGGGGATCTCGAGCGGGCCCGCCTGAAGTCTGAGAGGCGCGCCGATCGCGACCGGCTCGAACGCGAGCCGCCCGCGCGTCGACGCGATGGAGGGCATGATCAAGATCGTCAAGAGTCTCGAGAGCCGGCCCGATTCGGTACGCGACCGCAAAATTTCGCCCCCGCGTCGCGCGCGCCCGACATTCGGGTCGCCTCGTAGGTGCCGTTCCGCGAGCCCGTCGACTGGCGCGGCCTCGGCCTCTACGACTACCCGCAAGTGATCTCGAAGCCCATGGACCTGCTGACGGTCAAGCAGACCATCGAGAAGAACGGCTACAAGTCGATCAACGACTGCGCGGACGACGCGCGCCCGCCGCGTCCGACCCGATCGCCGCGGCGGCGGCGCGCGCGACGAGCTGCGGCGCGCGGCGCGAGCGGCGCGCGCCGGGCCTCGCGCGCGCGCGCGGACGCATGCGCGCGCCTCCCGCCTCGCGCGCGCCGCGCGCGCGCCGCCGCTCGCCGACCCGCTCGCTCCGCAGATCCGGCTCATCTGGAACAACTGCAAGAAGTACAACCAGGACGGTTCCGACTTCTACAACCTCGCGGACAGCTTCTCGAAGAAGTTCGAGGACAAGTTCAGCAAGCTCAAGGCGGAGAACCCCGCGATGGACGAGGTCGAGGCGGACCACGCGCCGTCGCTCGACGAGAAGACCAAGTTCTCCCACAACATCTACCGCATCAAGCAGGAGGAGCTCGGCGTCCTCGTCGAGAAGCTCGACGCCAAGTGCCCCGAGGCCATCGACAAGTCCACGGCGGACGACGAGATCGAGATCAACATCGACGCCATCGACCCGCGGACCTTCCACGACCTCGACAGGTACGTGCGGCAGTGCCTGGCCCAGTCGAACCCCAAGAAGAAGAAGCAGGCCGGCGCCGGCGGGCCCGCGCCCAAGAAGGCCAAGGCGTGACGCGCCGGCGAAAAAAGAAGCCCCGCGCGCGCCAAGAGCCGAGGCGCCGCCGCCGACCCGTCGCGCGGCGGCGCCTAAGCATTCGCTACGACTCGGGGTTCCCGCCGCGGCACACGCCCCGGGGGAGAGGAGTCCGCGCGCGCTCGCGGCGCACGTCCCGGGGGATCTCGAGGAGTCCGCGCGCGCTCGCGAAACATCTCGCGAAGGCCTTCGCGACGGTTTCTTCAACGTGGGAATCAAATGGGAAACACCGACAGATACGCCGGCGTCCGTCTCGCGGACGCGACGAGCATTCACGGCCGCGGCGGGCAGCCCGGTGCGCGCGCGGAACGTGCGTGGCAGCAGCGCGCGGCGCACCGGCACCATGTTCAACAAGTCGTTTTCCGACCTGCTGGAGATCCGCGAGGCGAGCGCCTCTTCCGCCGTCGGGCTCGCCGAGGCGCAGGGCTGGCGGCCGACGATGGAGGACGCCTTCGTGATGAATCTCGACGCCATCCCGGGCTGCAGCGTCGTCGCCGTCTTCGACGGCCACGGCGGGTCGACGGTGTCGGCCTACGGCGCGCGGGAGCTCGCGCCGCGGCTCGCCGCCGCGCTCGGCGCGTGCGGCGGCGACGGCGAGCGCGCGCTCGCGCGCGTGTTCCTGGACCTCGACGCGGCGCTGCGCGACGAGCACGGCGCGGCGCTGGACCAGATGGGGAGCACGGTCGTCTGCGTGCTCGTCGCCCCCGACAGCCTGACCTGCGGCTGGCTCGGCGACTCGCGGGCGGTGCTCTGCGCGGGCGGCGCCGCGGCGCCGCTGAGCTTCGACCACAAGCCGCAGGGCGACGGCGAGCGCGCGCGCATCGCGGCCGCCGAGGGCCACGTCTTCCGGGGCCGCGTCAACGGCATGCTCGCCGTGTCGCGGGCGCTCGGCGACTTCCTCTACAAGGCGCGGTCCGACCTCGGGCCCGAGGCGCAGCTGGTGAGCTGCGAGGCCGGCGCGGGCCGGCGCGCGCGCGACGCGGCGAGCGACGAGTTCCTCGTCGTCGCCTGCGACGGCATCTGGGAGAAGCTGACGAACGACCAGGCCTGCGCGCTCGTCCGCGCCGCGTGGCACGCCGGGTCGAAGACGCCGGAGGCCGCGGCGCGGAAGCTCGTCGAGTGGAGCCTGCTCTGCGGGTCCACGGACAACATGACCTGCTGCGTCGTCGTCCTCGACGCGGCGAAGCTCGACGCCGTGTCCGAGGCCGACGCGCGGCGGGGCCTCGAGGCCGCGGGCCTCTCGTACCCCGCGGCGCTCCACGCGCGGGACGTGCTCGGCCTGCGGCGCGCGGGCGTCGGGGCCATGGACGAGAAGGCCGTCCTCGGCCTCGTCGAGGCCTGCGGCCTCGGCAGGCACGCCAAGGCCTTCGCCGAGAACCGCGTCGACGGCGAGTGCCTCCTCGAGGTCGCGGAGGCGGAGTTCGTCGAGGACCTCCACATGGCGCCGGCGGACGCCAGGTTCCTCGCCCTCGCCCTCGGCTGGTGGGAGAAGACGACGAGCTGGGCCTAGGCGGCCGTCGCGTAAAAATCGCCCTCAACGACGCCTTCAACGGCGCGACGCTGCCCCGCACCATCGAGAGGTTCGTTGGGCAGCTATGGCGCGGGGCGTCGCGCTGGCCCTCGTCCTCGTCGCGCCCTGCGTCGGGAAGCTGACCTGGGGCGTCGACGACGGCGACGAGTGGTACACGCGGAGCTGCAACAAGGTCGAGCTGACGATCTGCAAGGAGGAGTACGACCTGTGCATCCGCGAGGTGCCCGTGGGCGACGGCTACTCCGAGGCGGTCTGCGACTGCGCCGACGAGTACTACGGCGTCTGCTCGCGCCGGGCGGGCTGCGCGAGCTCGCTCATGACCCAGTGCATCGACGAGATGTACCGCTGGAAGTGCGCGGACAGCAGCATCTGCGGCTCGAACTGCGTCGACCAGGGCAACGAGCAGATCCCGCCGGGGTCGCACGTGCTCCCGGTCAACAACTTCGGGCAGAACGCGCTGCGGTTCAGCGTCTGCTTCCGGAGCTTCAACGAGCGGTCCCTGAACCGCTACGGCATGGTCGTCATGGAGCAGTGCCAGGCGCACGACTTCCACCTCTGCCCCTACTGGGTCCCGCCCCAGACCTTCACGGCCATCGCCATCCAGAGGAACGCGACCTACCTGAAGATGGAGTTCTGCGTCATCGGCGACGACGACTACTACTCGTGCCTCGACGACCCGGCGCCGCGCGAGTACTTCGGCACGGAGACGCACTGGCCCAGCGCCATCGACGTCGAGTTCCAGACCGCGCCCTACTGCGCCGACGACCTCGACTGCCCGGGCAGCTTCTGCGACAAGATCCACTACCCGGCTGTGTGTGCGCCCCACGACAAGAAGCAGTTCACGGGCCCGGCGAAGGAGTTCATGATCCCGCCGCGGGGCATCGCGAGCCAGGACCAGGCCCAGTACCCCGCCACGGGGCAGTTTTACGCGGAGCTGTAGCGCACGAAGCTTTCCCGAGGGGGTCCTTCGTTCCCGAAGTTCAACGTTTCGCGGTTGAAGCGCGAGGGGCCGATATTACGGCACTTGCCGACTTTCGACAAGGGGATATAAATCTAGATGGGGTGGCAGGCGAAACGCGAGGTCCTCGTACTACTCGGGGCCGCCGCTAGCGTTTTCTTTCTTCTTCCACGCCGCAGCGCGCGGGCTGAGTGCAACGATGGCGGGTCGCGCGGCGCGGCGCGGCTGCGGAACCCTTCGACGGGGCGGGGCAGCGAATTTGGGCTGCTGAGATCATTGCGTTGGCTCGCGAGCGCGACGGTTGTTCGGCGGCGGGACGAGAGGGCGGCGGTGTGAGTCGAGTGTGCGATATTTTCTTGTCCTTAGAGGTTGGAGGCGCCCTATGGGTACCCGCGGGGGGCTCGAAACCTTCAGGACACACTTTTCCCACGATCTCAGAGCCTGCGCAGCCCCGGCGCCGACGGTGTCGCAACACAGTTTCTCGGGCAGCGTGCGGGCATTCGAGGTCGAGAACTTTTCGTGTCCTGAGATGCTCGAGCCCATCCATAGGTACCAACGAAGGG